AAGATTTTTGCATATCTTTGTCCCTTCACCCAGTTTCGTGGACTATATCGCAGCGAGAGTGGCGCGACATAGCAGCGACATATCTCGCTGCCATCTCGCTCAGCTCTAGCAAACTCCCGGCGCGATATCGGCGCGAGGTCGCGGATTATTGATTGGTTACTATTTACGTGCCATCAAAAATTTTACTTGAATTTTTTTATTTTTCGTGTGTTATATTCTCTCTGATTTTTTTATGTCTATTTTTTCACTTAATATTTCTAAAATGTTAATTTTACAACTAATGTAACGCTCATACAGTACCGTCAGAAAAGGAAAAATATTTTTCGCTCACAACTTCCTCGTATAGAGCTCAATCTTTCTGAAACGTTTTCAGCTGTGTTTCTAAGTTTTCACCACGGTGTTACAATCAACAGTCATCATATTTCCAGAAAGTTTCAAAAGGGTGAAATCCCATTAAAGAAAGTTGTGATAAAAAAAAGCTTTTTTGTATATATTTTAACGGAACTGCACACCTTTCTTGAATTTGAAATTTCTTTTTCGCATCATGTTTTAACTAAGAATTTCAGGTTATTAGTACTTCAAAAATGGCATCTAAATCGATCAATAAAAGTCAAAAAAAGATCCGTGGGAGATGGCATTGAAGTTTTGCTTTTGGATACAATCAATAAGATTCTTGGTAAACTATTTTTGAAACAGTATATCCATTTTTACTTGAAGATATGATTTTGCACTTTGGCGTCGATGGGTAAGGAAAAAAAGAAATGAGGCATGATTTCGAGAAAGCACGTACTGCTGTCTTGATACAGTCACTCCTGTGAGTTATTCTCTTATTCAAGGTTGGACTTTTTTCAGTATTTCTCTTTTTTACCGGTTTTATCATTTAGAAAAGTTCTTGACGCAGCAAATGAAGGATATGCCGAAAACTATCGAGTCAAAGCTTACAGTAACATTTTTAAGGGAACTTAGGGCCAATCTGATTGTTTAAATTAATTTTCTTTTTCAAAACTTCTTTCATTTTCATTTCGAGCCTCCCTCCTTTATTTTTTTTTCTAATTTGAACTTTTAAAAATCATCTACGAGCTTACAATCGGTTTACTTTTCTGTTTTTATTGAACCTACTCTTTTTCTAGTCACATTTTTTTCCTATGAAAAATAAACGATACACATGTTTTTCCTCATATTGTCCTTTTTTATTCTTACTTGAAGCTTCACTCTTTCGCCTCAAATCAATTTTTTTTCTTCTTCAGATTTGTACATACTTTCCGTTTACTTCGAATTCGAAAATGTATCATCAATTATTTGGAAAATTTCTTTAATGCTCTCAAGTTTTCATTTAAATATATTGTTTATATTAAATAAAAAGTAAAGAAGGTTGATAAAGACCGATATGTTATCATGTACAACCCAATAAAAGTATGAAGCATAGAAAGCAAATCAAGAAAAAAAAGCCCAATCGAGCTAAAAAAATTTTTTTTTGAAAGAGCGACATAGCAGCGAGATGTGAGCGACCTTGCGCCGAGAGGCGAGCGATATAGCTCGCGGCTCCCCCGCGATATAGCGTTTCTCTCGCTGCGACCTCGTCCGTAAAACTGGGTGTTGTAAGAAAAACTTTTCTCTATTTCAAAAACGTTCAATCAGGTTTCATAAGTTTTAACAAGTATATTGAAAGGAAGACGCTATTTTGATGAATCATGCCTTTTTGCTAAAGTTTATCACATATTTATGGATCAGAATAACTAACAGTTCAAAATGAAGTCAACGATTGAAAGAAAGGGGCAACGGAACCGGACCAGATAAGGCAGACTCTTGAAGTGACAACGGAATGTCAATATCAGCCGTACACGTGCACTATCATCACTTGTTTAATGATAATAATTAATGATCGAGAAACCGGCGAAAGAACGGAAACTATCCTTTCGAGTACGGAGAGTTTGAAAAAAAGGGAGTAAAGAGTACCGAATTCAACTCAGCATTTTAATTTGCAAGTTTTGAAATTGTTCAGTCTTTCCCCTTTAGTTATCTTTGACATCCAACTTCAATATCGCATGAAAACTTGATACCAAAAATCACGGCGTATTTTTGACGACGCCCCGCCCATAAGTTTTCGTCAGATAACGTGCATTGCGTGCATCGCACGTACACGTAATAATGCGCTGCCCGCGAATGTTTGAGAAGGCGCACCGTGCTTAATTTTTCGTTTCATTTATTTTTTAATATGCTGTGTTCAAATTAATTTTCGCGAAATGCAAAAGGCTCTCGGACTCTCCAAAATTTAGATATTTTCCTTTCCGCAACGGGTATTTTGCATTTCGTGGAATCACTTTCAACAATGCATTAACTATTTTTGCTCTGACTTCCTTTCTATCCCCGGGTCATAGTCTACTCGTTAGGGTGGACTAATTCCCGTTTTGGTTATTCTGCTGCTTTCGTATTCTGAACTATTTTATTTATTATTTTCCAACAGTATGCAGTGAATAAACCTATTATTATTAAAAAAATTATTATTCATTTTCGTTCACAAATTGTTTCAATTGTGTCAAAAATCGTTTTCTTCTTCAATTGTTTACTGTTTTTTTCGTATTCTATCGTAACTTCTGATTAAAAACACTTATTTTAGGAGATAATGCTTGCCTCTGATTAGTAACGTTTATTTTTTTATCTTCATGTGAATATATAACAGTTTTGGAAGCTATCGTTTTCAGATTTTTGTTATAATAGAAGTAATTTTAGTCGATGTTAACTTGCTTCCGTGTGAACTTTTTCGCTCATAAAATAACTTTTTTATACCGCAATATAATTTTTTTAAAGTAGAAATTGACGAAGAAAAAGGAAGCAGGCAACCGCAAGAGAAGATCACGACGCTCAGGAGGGTAAACGAAGGACGTTTCGACGAAGAAGAGTCTCTCCATCCCTGATCCTGAATGTCGTGTAGACGAAACCAGGTAATTATTGTAATAAAGCGTTTTTTTTTTCTCACAAAACAATAAACAAGGTATTTGATTTATTGAAAATCAACAAATTCAAAAAGAACAACATGATGTGCAAAAAGGAATTCACTAATGACACTGAGCGTGAGAATGATGGCAGCAACATGTACGCGGCGTATCTCTCTGGGCTCACGTTCTCGGCGACTTTCAAAGATGAAGCCGTTGGATCTAAATTTAATTTTAGTTTTAACTTAAAATTAACGATACTCACTTGTATCAGCACTTGGGTGTTCGACGGAATTTGTTTTGTGCACGACATACTTCATGTTCTCGGCGACTTTCAAAGATGAAGCCGTGGAATTGGAAATGTTGGTTTCTAAAAAGAAATGGTTCAAGTGGAATGTGAAAAAGTTTCTCACCTTTTCTTCTCATCGCATCGTTCCACGGGATATTCTTCAATTTCCTGTTTGCTGATCGAGCCAACATTCTTTACCTTCTTTCTTCCGCACTTTTCCTTCTTTCACCATTCTTTTTCGGTAACAAAAACTCGGAAAAATCTGTAAGAATTTTTTGATACCTCTACCTTATAATCAAGAAGAATCATACAGTTTAGCGCGAAATTTCTTGATTATTTAATTAAGTAATTTCTTCCGGACATATCAACTTTCTCATTTTCACTCGAAACTCACTAATTATTCTTTTAAAACATTACCAGCTATTTATTCGACAATATTAGCTAAGATAAAAAGTCGAAAAATGCAGCAAACGAAAGCAATATGTTTAAAAAGAGGAAAAAATCAAATAAAAACCCCTCATGATTTCAGCTCTTCTCGCTGCGGTGCGCGCGCGAAAGGTGTTATCGGTCTCACCACGAAAGTTTTACCTCATTTGGCGTCTTTCCAAAGTCACGCCTTTGGCTTTTTGCATTTTTTCCACTACTCAGAAC